ATATTTTTATTGGGAAAACTTTACAAAAGTGGTTCAGGCAAGCCTTTGATAGCTCTATTAGTCCCTTCAGGCTGACTAAGAGAGTATCTACATCATAATAAATTGCATGGAACTAGTTTCCATCTAATCCCATAAAATATGCAATTTGTAATCCACGTCATTTTGTTACTGTCACCCAAAAATCAAAGTGCCAAAGCCTGGAAACTGGAACAAAGCCTAAGCAAAAGGGCTCTGCGCCAATGAAACTGTACTAAAGTACAGTGGGACTAAGAGAAAGAAACCTGGGAACATGTTCTTCAGCTTCTGTTCATTCAACAGGTTGATAGATGGGGGAAAGGGCAGGTCTAGAGTAGTTTCCCTCTAAGGTGGGGTACTGCCCCTGGGTATGTAGCTCAAATTGTGTATCTTATTTTGAGCTACAGTGCAGTGTAGACACAATCTAGATGCTTAATAGAAAAGTGATATTCCCATTCCAATAATCCCATGGTCAACTGTACAATATTATACGCTGGGGAGAAATTTCTCTCTCACCCAGCTGGGATTTGAACCAACTCCCGTTAAAGTTGGGAGAAAGACTCTTCTTGAATTCATTGGTAGCTGCATCCTGGATACAGAAGGCTTGATAAGCTCTTGTAACCATTGCCCTAGTTATTGGAATTGCAAATACTAGAGTTTTAGTAATGCACATGTCTAATCCTTTCTTAAATCTTACTATGCAACTTTTCTCATACTAAGGGATTATAAAAACAAAACTTTCAATTTTCCATTAGCCTGATGGAGTCAAGAATAAAGCCATAATTCCTCAACAGGAAGAACACAAACTTTGTTCTTCCTGGTCTCATCCTTGTTATTACTGCTTTGCAAATATAGGTCAATCTCTACTCTTCTGAAGCCTAGAGGCAATCTGTAAAAAATCTGCCCAATAAAGTAGATGGCTTGCTGAGGTCCTGCTATTCATACATACAACCTAAATCCTTCCTGAAAGGAACTATTAAAAATAATTAAACTAATCTGAGAGGATTGTTAAGATTTTTACAAGTGACTGGTAAAAGAAACCCTTCTTAAATTTAATTTCTACAGAATAGCCAAAACTATTTCAAATAATGGTTAGTTTATTTTTATATGTATATAAATTAATCCTCTTTGGAATCTATGATCAAATGTTTTATGTCATTGTTCCTCTGATGACATGGTACACGTGAAAGCTTTATTTCATGATTTCTCAACAGGCCTTCTAATTACAGACGGCCTGCAATTAGAAGGCCTGTAGAGAAAGCCATTTAATTAGGGCAAATTTAAAATTAGACTGTTGAATGCTAATGAAAATCATTCCCATAATGGGGGCCTTGGTTGCTATGACATGCCCTGTCTGTGCTTTTCCCAAGATATACCAGTGTCATGGATTTAAATAAACAGCACAGAACTACTTAACTCTTGGAGCACATTTTAGGAACACAGACTCTTAAAAGTAGAATTCTGATAACACTTAGTACCAGAACTTAGCTCTTGGCACTAGGTACCAAGTCTAGGTGCCAAATTAAGGCATTAATAAAAGTTCTGCAGTATTTCACCTGTTGTAAAGTGCATCATAAAAATCTGTATGATTTCATTGTGCTGACACCAGCAGCAGAATTGGAGAGTCTTCTGGATTGTATTTATATCAAGGGATGTGGATCTACCATAAATAAACCACTTGTTTCTGTTCTTTAAATTTCTTTATTTTAAGAAACCTGTATCATGTGGGTTTTTTTTCCCATTTTTTTTAAAAAATGCATGATGCTGGTATGAAAGTAGCTGTGGAAATTTCCTGGATATGTTCCAAGACTTTTTTGACTATTCACAGGCAAACACACATGCATATAAACATGATGGTTTGTATGTTTATATTACCCTATGCAATGTATGTGTGTTGTTCATTTATGGTCCATTAGCTTTACCTTATAAGATGCAGAAAGCGAGTACAATAACAGTACATCTTGTGAGTTATCACATACATAAAATACCAGTATGTTTCATAGGTCTTTTCAGTTAGAGGTCTTAATATCACTAGTTATGTTTTCTCTTATCAACGCTCACATCACCCACTTTACCAATAGCCTAACTGGGAATTAATCTCCAGGCTCAGTGAAATGCTAATTCAGAGAAAATATCATTGTCAGAAGGGCTACGTCTACACTACAAGTTTTTTTGGCAGAAAATATGCTAATGATGGACTCATTAGTATGAGTCGTGACATCCTTAGCATATTTACTGCCATTTCTTTTTGCGCAAGGGGTTTTTGCGCAAAAAGAAGCAGTGTGGACGTTTCCTTTTCGCGCAAAAACCTCGTTTTGTGCAAGATCCTTATGTCTCTTTGGGACAGGACTCATACTAATGAGACCCTTATTAGCATATTTTCTGCTGAATAAACTCATAGTGCTGATGTACCCAAGCGGTATTGGACGTAGCCTTAGTACAAGTTAGGAAGTTGCTCTAGTTGGAGCTGTGGTAGTAATATGGAAATTATACAAGAAATACATGGAAGCTACATGTAGGGACCCTTCTGTTGTTTGCAGCAGCGGGGTCTAGCAGTGCAGACTGGATACTAACAGATGAACGCTGATGCAAGGACGATGAGTGAAAAGGAGCTCTTAGAACTGGAGAGAAACCAGTTGGATTTTTAAATTCGGCATACTGGTCACTGAACAGTTACATTTTTTTTCCATGTGTGAGAACGAGGTTGTTCAAGCAAAAGCAGGAGCACGGTGCAGGGAACAGTTTGGATATGACACACTTCCCTGGCCACAAAAAGCCTAATCTCTTCCCTAGTAGCTGTCACTGGCAAATGGAATGGGCATAGGAAGGCCCATTAGCAGTGAAAATAATAGCAGGAAGCTTTTGAATACCCATGTCGCACTCTCTTCTTCTACAGGAAAGAGGTCATAATAGATGTTCCTTGTTCACTGCTCAAAAGAAAGGTGCAAGTAGATCTCTTTGGAGGAAGTTCCTTCCAGGAAATAAAATACAGGACTATGTAGCACTTTAAAGACTAACAAGATGGTTTATTAGATGATGAGTTTTCGTGGGCCAGACCCACTTCCTCAGATCAAATAGTGGAAGAAAATAGTCACAACCATATATACCAAAGGATACAATTTAAAAAAAGTGAACACATATAAAAAGGACAAATCACATTTCAGAACAGAAGGGGGATGTGGGGTGAGGGGTGGGGAAGGAAGGTAAATGTCTGTGAGCTAATGGTATTAGAGGTGATAATTGGGGAAGCTATCTTTGTAATGGGTAAGATAGTTATTGTCTTTGTTGAGACCGACACATAGAGTGTCGAATTTTAGCATGAATGACAGTTCAGAGGATTCCCTTTCAAGTGCAGATGTAAAAGGTCTTTGTAGCAGAATGCAGGTGGTCAAGTCATTGAGAGAGTGTCCTTTCTGGTTAAAATGGCAAGAAACTGTTTTCTCTTTGTGATCTTGTCTGATATCTGTTTTGTGGGCATTAATCCTTTGGCGAAGTGTCTGAGATGTTTGTCCAATGTACATAGCAGACGGACACTTTCAGCACATGATAGCATAGATTATATTTCTGGATGCGCAGGAATATGTGTGCTTGATCTTATAACTCACTTGGTTAGGTCCAATAATGGTATCAGCAGAATGAATATGTGGACAAAGCTGGCAACGGGGTTTGTTGCAAGGGAAGGTACCAGGGTTGGTATTAGTGTGGTATGTCCTGTGATCTTTAATCTGTCTTTTAAGGCTGACAGGTGGCACACTACATGTGTTTTTGGTTGAGTTTGTCATATGGTCACTTGCATATTAAAACTAGATACAGACTCCAAACTTGCTCTAGATGGACTACTCAACAGCTGTCAGATTATGATCTTCTATCACCACTGATTTGCTCCATATTTGAGCTAGGAATGTTAAATGTTGTTTGATTTAATAAGATTTGATGTGGTTACACAATTAGCACGGGGTTCGAACGAGCGGGGATTTAAAAATGGCGGCGCCCCGCTTATGCAAATGAAGCCCGGGAAATTCAAATCCCGGGCTTCATTTGCAATTGCGGTATGCCTACATTACCCTCTTAATTCGAATTAGGAGGGTAGTGTAGACATACTCTAGGAGACTATGGGTCTGTCTCCTAGAGCTTCTTGGAGTTTAGTATCCTGTTCCAGAATAGGCTGTAGTTTATTGATAATGTGTTGGACAGGTTTAAGTTGGGGGCTGTAGGTGATGACAAGTGGTGTTCTATTGTTGGTTTTCTTGAGTCTGTCTTGTAGTAGATGGTTTCTAGGAATTCGGAAGTGGATCTCTCGTGTAGAATGGTCCAGGCTGAGGTTGATGGTGGGGTGTAGGTTGTTGAAATCTCTGTGGAATATCTCCAGTGTTTCTTGGCCATGTGTCCAGATCATAAAGATGTCATCGATGTACCGTAGGTAGAGGAGGGGTGAAAGGGGACGGGAGTTGAGGAAACGTTGTTCTAGGTCAGGTCAGCCATAAAAATATTAGCCATGGGCCATGCGTGTACCCATGGCTGTGCCGCTGATCTGGAGGTATAAGTTGTTCTCAAACTGGAAATAATTGTGGGTGAGAACAAAGTTACATAGGTCTGCTATCAGGTTGCAAGGATGGTGTTATTGGGGAGGTTATCGATGGAGGAAACTACAAAACATCGATAACCTCCCCAATAACACCATCCTTGCCACCATGGATGTAGAAGCACTATACACCAACACCATTTACCTTCCTTCCCTCCTCCCTCTCCCCCCCCCGCATCCCTCTTCTGTTCTGAAATGTAATTGTCCTTTTCATATGTGTTCACTTTTTTTTAATTGTATCCTTTGGTATATATGGTTGTGACTATTTTCTTCCACTATTTGATCTGAGGAAGTGGGTCTGGCCCACGAAAGCTCATCATTTAATAAACCATTTTGTTAGTCCTGTATTTTGTTTCAGCTATACCAGACTAACACGGCTACATTTCTATCACTATTCTTCCAGGAAATAGTTGTTCAACATGGCTGCCTGACTGGAATGTCTATATTTACGCTAACAGGAATGATCTTACCGTACTACATGGTAAGCAGATCTCTTCCATTCTAATTCTTCTTTGAGTCTTTCAAATGCAATTTTCTCTAAACTTTTTGTGTGCGCAAATTCTTATGCTTAGTCTGGGCCAAAAACAACATATCTTGGAAGCACTGAAAGAAATTGTCCCAGCTATGTCTCTTCTTGAGAAGGGTACTGAAAACTGGATATATTTCTAGCATTACTCCGAAGTTTCTAATTTTATGTCTCTGGAAGCCATAGCTTAAAAACAAAAAACAACCTTGGTGTAAGGTTTTTAGCCTCCCCCTCATTGACCTGATTCAAAGTCCATGAAGCTGATGGAAAGGCTTCCATTGACTTCAGAAGGCTTTGGAACAATGGCCTTTGATCAGCACAGAGGATAGATTTGACAGAATTTAATGTAAAAATCCAACAGTTATTAACATTGAATTAAACTCACTTGGGTCTGTTCTACACAAGACCAGGCAGGTGAGCTTAAGGTATGCCATCTAGCTATGCAAAATGCATAGCTGTATTTGGCTTACCTTAAGCTGAGCCACCAGCTACACTGAAGAAGGTCAACAGGAGCATATGCATATACTCACTGAAAGAGGAGTACTGGACGCTGGCGGGGGCTGCCCTAAATTGAATGCTAGAAGATTGATCTCAAGAGAGTTGATCTTCTCCATAATGTACAGATGCCCTAGTTGTACTAGCTGCTAGAGAGGCTAATGGGGAGGAGTGCCAAACTGCATTTAATATTTTTATTGAAAATTTTTGTGTTCAGAATGTTCTAGGTTTTTCTTTTCTCTTTGTATCTAGTGGAAGGAAAAGAAAACAAACCAAAAAAACTTATAAAAATTGTGGTATGTGTGTGTGGAGGGGGGAATGGAAAAATTAAAAACTCATATTTTGTGAAAATTTCCAATTTTTAAAAATGGCCTTTTTTGACAAAATAAATTTTCATTAAAAAAAATCTTGACCATCTCTATTCTTGACACTTATCTCCTCCAATAGCCTAGTCCAGGTGCCCCTAGGAAATCCTAAAACTTAGTATGGGTCAGATCTAGAAATGTATGTTTGAAAATAGGCCTTACCTGATCACTCCGGAAGTGAGAAGTGCTTAGTTTGCTTATTTCTGCTGGCACCAATAAGCTGAATGAAGAGACCAGAAAAATCTGCTTTCCAGCATGAGCCAGAGTTGGAAATTCATATCACAATGTATTTGAAAAGCCTTTTGCCCCTGGTGTACAATGAATTGAGTCCCTTCTATGGAAGATGAGCTGACCTTACCTTCCTCTTTCATTTGGGGAAGATGAAGTGGAGGAAGGAACAAGAACTAACAAGACATCTGCAACCTTACAAAAACAAATCATATTTGTTATAACTCTTCTCTTTTTGGTTCCTGTCCTACACCACTGATTGCTGTCATCACTTCCAGTATCAAGTCTTATTTGATCTATACACTTTTTAAGTTTGAGACATGTCATGTTTTAACTGTAAGTGCCATGATGCTGTGCAAATATGGCTGTGACTGTCTAGGACTTCACAATCGTCACTGTGGCCATCTGGTTATTACTTATGTCAAAAGCACAAGGTCCTAAAATACCAGCAGAGGAAAAGAATCCTCAATCACTGCTGACTGTCTAGGGCTTATGACATGCATCCATCCAACAGAGAGATTTGTATGAACATATATAAAAACATGCTAGTTCATTAAAATATTAAATAATATATTAATTATTATTTTTAACATAAAGTAATTGTGCTTCTTTAAAGTTGGTACTATAGCCCATTGATGTACATGGGAGCCATCTCTTTGAGCAAGAGTACAAAAATGCATGTCAGATCAGGAGCAAAAGTATCAGTATTACTAAGAACATGTAACTGAATTGCCAGATTTGGGAACCTAACATCAGAATAATAAAAACAAGTTGGACAATAGAACTGTTTTTTCCAAGCTTAAAAGATATGCACAATTTGACAGTATTTAGCTCTTTGTAACTGCAAAAAAGTGAAGTGTAAGAAATGATGTCTAAATCTTTTTGAAACCTGTGGCCTATGCAAAGAGCTAGTGACATACTGGAATGATCTGAGTGAATGTACCCCAAAATGGCTTGGATTTGCTCATCTGGCATCAAGTTCAGAGGAATGACCAACAAGGTGACTTATGTTCTTAACAGGGTAGACCCAGAAGGGCTTGAGCAGATGTTGCAGGCTTACTGCAGGCAAATACACAAGGTTTTGTGGTTTCTCTTAAGTGTTTGCTAATATCTACCATATTGCAGTCAGATGTCCTTTCTCAACAGAGCTGACTATTCATAATATAATACAGATGATTTCATCTGTGGTTGGGGCTTCTCTTTTTGTAGTAGAACTGTGTAAAGTCTGAAATGCTCAAATTTACATTGTAGCAGCATTTTGGGAGAGAAACCCTTTAACAATTCACACCTCTGATCTATTATGCCATGGTCCTCCCTGTGACCCCATATCTATACTTGTCCAAGTAATTAATTTTATTATATGTTCTCCTTCAAATAAAAAACAGAATTAGACAGGAATTTACTTTGGAGAAACCTTTAAAAGTAGGAGGAGGATTTTTATGTGTTCAGAGAAGGGATTTGAGACTTCTGGATTTTACTTCTAACTCTGTCATTTGTATTGTGGCCTACCCCAACACCATTCCCCCTCTTCCTGTTACATGGAAATCATTTTATGTTCATTAGTCCTCTTAAAGGAATGTTGTGAGGCTTAATTAGTTAAGAAATTAAGGAATGTTTCTTCTTTGTCTTTGTCTTAATATTGTACAATTACTGACCTAACTTCCCTGCCAAGTTTTGGATAGAAGCAAACTTCTGAATAACTAAGTTTTCACTTGAGATGAAATCCTGGCACCATTAAACTCAATGGCAGAATTCCCATTGACTTCAAACAGGTCAGGATTTTACCCCTAATCTTTAACTGTCAGCTCAACTTTCCTTCATTATAACTTGGGGAAGTGAAGGACACTTCTTCACTGGTCAAATTGCTGACGGCGAATTTGTCCTAAGAGAAACATACAATATACATTTTCCTTTCTGATCCTAAAAACATTTGGAAAAAGCACCCCCGTCCAATTTTATAATACATCATGGGATTTAAAATGTATTTTAATGGCTTTTGTCTGTAATGAACTCTGTTTAAGATGCTAATAATTTTTGACAAGGGCTTCTCTTGTGTCTGGATTTTGAAAGGCAAATCTAGTATATATAATGGCCTTATTTTAGCCATGCAGTGGATTGAAACCAGCAGAAGCTGATAGTAAACAGCTTTTCTCAAAGTGTATGAAGTTCATTTTTCATTCTGATTTAATCCTGCTTTGGCTCTTTGTGCAACCAGGGAAAGCACTGCTTAAAACAAAATAAAATGGAGACATATGCAAACTCTTTACTTCAACTTTTTTCTCTAACACTCCCTCACAAAAGGGACACAATTCTCTCTCATAGAGTTTTGATAGCTTTACTGGAGCAGGAATAAATATTGCAGAAATGTTATGTAGGCAAACAATTTCCCTAACCTAGCAGAAGCTGAGCATGGATCTTGACAAGGAGAAGACTCCTTAGAGATGAAGTCCAATAGCTAATGCCTAGGAAGTAGGGGACACACTTATATCAAATCTACACTTAGGCCACGTCTACACTGGCAGCTTCTTGCGCAAGAACTCTTTTGCAGAAGAGTTGTTGTGCAAAAACTCTTCCACAAGAGAGCATCTACACCGGCATGTGCTTTTGTGCAAGAGATGTGCTTTTGCACAAGAGCATCCATCGCAGTGTAGACTCTCTCTTGCGCAAGAAAGCTCTGATGGCCATTTTAACCATAGAGGCTTCTTGCTCAAGAAATTCATGTTGCCTGTCTACACTGCCCTCTTGTGGAAGAGCTCTTGCAGAAGAAGGCTTCTTCCTGAGAGGGAGCATCAGAGTTCTCGCACAAGAAGCCCTGATTTTCTACAGTAAAACGTCAGTTTACCTGTGCAAGAACGCGCGGCCAGTATAGACAGGTTGCATGTTTTTGTGCAAGAGTGGCTGTTTTCACGCAAGAACGGGCCAGTGTAGGCACAGCCTTAGGGAGAAAGTCGACTTAAGATATGCAGTTCCAGCTATGAGAATAGTGTATCTGGAGTTGATTTACTTTAAGTTGAATTTCTGCAGAATCCCCATTGTGGGAGGTGGGCAGGAGAAACTCTCCTGTGTCAACTTCCCTTATTCCTCATGACCCCATGGAATACTGGGGTTGATGGATGTGCCATCTGTGGTCGATTTAGCAGATACTTACTAGACCTACTAAATGGAACCCCGGAAGATGGATCTCTGGAATGTCAATCTCCAGATAAGTAGAGATAAGGCCTTAGGAATTTAGGCTGCTCCAAAGTGCAGACTGCTGGTGGTGTAAATGAAAGCAGCTTCCTCTATATCTCCCTTGTTCCATCCTCATCACTGTTTCCTTTGTTTCATTGCATTAATTTGAAATAATAAATTGTAATAATCCTTAGTACTTTTCATCCATAGATTTCAGAGGCAGGGAAGCATTTGTTGGCCCAACACTATTTAAAGATTAGGCACCAAAATCCATAGTAAATAAATGGCCTAGGTGAGCAACTCTGAAAATTTGGTTACTCACTCAGGTGCCAAATACAAGTCTGGTGCTTAACTCTTTTAAGTTTTGGTTAAAAACCTCTATACCATGGCAAAATTAGATACCTAGATTTGAAAATGTAAATGCCAAAAGCTAGTTGTGCAGGTCATAGAAGGTAAGTAGAAAATCTGGGAAAATAAACAGATTCCCCATGCCCTAGATTGGATCGTGATGCCTTCCTAGTCTCACTCACTCTCGTGTCTTTGCTCCTGCAGTCCCTTTCCTCTCACTTGTTAATACCTAGACATAGTCTTTTGTCTTTTTTCTCCTCCCCACCAATCTGTTCCCACTTCAACTTTCTATTCATCTGTACTTCTTGCTTCCCTAAGCCCTCATTCTGTTCACTTTTCTTATCTATC